GCAGTGGGGGGTCGTCGTCGTCGTCGCGGCCGCCCTCGCCGCGGCACTCCTCCTCCATATTGGCGTCTGCCCCTGCAAGTTGGAGAATCAATGCAAGTTGGAGGACAATATAGAGGTAGGTAAGGATTGGCGCATAAGTCTATTGTTATGAATATTAGTACTATTATTTAGGTCTCAAAGCCGAGAAGAAGGGCAATCGCAAGCAGTGGGAAATGTGGTCTGGTCAAGTGATTTAAGGTGTCTAGTGTCATGACTACAGCTGTCCTTCCGACGCAAAGTCAACGCCTGACGGCACGAAAACATATAAAGGTAAAGGTTCGACACCTACCGACCCTAACATTCCCACGCAACCAAACAAACGAAACCCATCAAAAGGGACGGCTGTTGCAATCGGTGGACCATACATGGCGGGAGCACATGCAGGGCCGGGGCCCGCACCGACGCCGGTGCCCAAAGCGAGGTTTCCCAATGACTAAGAAAACAAACAAACGCGGTGGATCTGGATACTGCTCATATCACAAGGCGAACAAACGAACCACCATGTAATGATTAGCGTAGCGCAGTGTTCTACGGAACCGAGGATGGCGGCCCATCTATATTGAAGACCTAGTCTCTCACCGCTTGCACCCTGGGCGTCTCCAGCCGACGGCTCCCCCGTGGAGGCGGCGTGGTCGTGATTGCCGTTGGCAGAGAGGCCATCTCCACCGCCGGCCACTGCGCGCTCTAGTCGACTGATCTCGGCCGCGTGCTCGGCCGCCTTGAGTCGGGCCTGGAGCAAACGAATTTCGGCAAGCTGCGACAGAGCAGCGTCGCGCACAGCGTGGAAATATTTTTCAAACAAGTGAACCAGGGGGGTACGTCGGCCCGAACATACGCAATGTATATTTGCGAGGCCATGCTACTTTACTCTTCGATACGCTTTCGCAACAGCAATTTCTCTATTTTGAAAAGCTCAAGATCCTCTACACCCGTGCATGAAAATGGGACAAGCGCCGACGATAATAGTGGGACTGTCGCGTACTGTAGGTTAGAATAATGCGTGCATGATGATGGTACACATGGAGTGTGGAAGTATCGCGGAAGATGGTACATCTTTCGCGGAAGCGAGAATGGAGAATGACGTGTGGGGGCGTAGTTAGCATTTCCATCAACGCGCACACCCAAAGTAGACGTAGCTCCACAACGAGCACGAAGGAGAGCTGCACAAAGATTGACCCTAGTGTCTGTCGACCAAAAAAAACGAGGTGAAACACTGCGGGGAACCCACCTCGTGATCCGGCACGCCCCCTCTCCCTGACCCACTCGCCGTCGAAGCCCGCGCCGTGGCCTCAGCGCCGGTGCTTCCCGCTGCAACGTTCTTCCGTTCCGTCTTCTTCTCCTCTCGTGCCTCGTGGAATTCATTCGCTTGCTGGAAGCGACGCAACCGACGAAAAAAAAATGATACGGAGTATTACATTAGTACATGTCGGCGCCTGGAAGGACGGGCAAAAAGGAACCTTGCGAAAAATACTGGGAGAGGACAGAATGGTGGAAAGGACGAGTAGGTTTGACGCGGAACCACAACGTACAACACGCAACCCATCCAAGCACGGCCAGACAAGAAACACACGGCTGCTACAAAAAAAAGTGCGAGTGTGAGGGGGGTCGCACCTGAATAGCAGCGGAGGCGGCAGAGTTGGCGGCGTGCTTCTTGATCGCTTTTCGCTCGCTCCTAGCCTTCTGTTGCTTCTCGAGTGCCGTCATAGACGCCCTCCACGCTGCCTTCGAGGCGTCCGACATCTGGCGTGCGGTGGCTGCTATCTCGGCATTTTTCTTCTTGTCGTCCTTGATTCTCGCGGCTTTGACGGCGTGGTCTTGGTCTTTCTTGCTTTTCGGGGGCTTCTTCGCACGGCCCTCTCCCGCTGCCGCAGCCCCCCCCACTCCCTCCGCCGTCGCCGAAGGCATGACAGCCGCTGCTTTCCCAGCAGCAGCCGCGGCCACGGCGGCGGATGCTTCTCCCCCGCCCGCCGCCATCACCTCACTTTCATAAGGGTCAGCTGACAGTCGTTTCACTTTCATAAAAGTCCCTAAACTGACTGTTAGTAATGTGCACCCACCTCACTTTCATAAGAGTCAGCTGACTATTATAACAGTGTGAAAACTGACGCCTCACTTTCATAAGAGTCACCTGACCCTTATGAAAGTGAGTGAACTGACTGTCATAACAGTGAAATAACGATGACTGTCCGCAACCGCCGGGCGGCGTAGGGGCGTCTCCTAATGCTCCCCCATAAAGGGACGCACTGCACTCCGCCAACGGCCCACTACGCTTCGGTCCGACAGCTCTGGTACCGGCCGGTGGTCAAGCATGACAAAGTCGGTTGCTCTCACGCCGCGCGTGTTACGTAGAGGTTGACGTATTCACCGGTGGGTGTGGCCTGGTCGCCCGTCAGGTGTGGTTGACGGTGGGTGCATGTTGCTCCACTCTTGAAACCGTTAAAGCGGATAGGCTAAAAACTTGATCTAGGTACAATAGCTGCTGGTTTCTGCCTCCGGTTTTCAGGCGCAGAGAACACAGGCATCGGTAGATATACGCAACTTGGGGTTGTACCTGTCCGATAGGGCAGGGTTCATTCCGGAGTTACATTTACCCGGGACTGTGTAGGACCCGGTGTTATACTTTTCACAACATACATGTACGCACATAAAAAATCGACGGTGTTCGTCGGGGTGTTGTACACTTTAGACAGGTACACTGGCACTGCTTCAAGTCCCCAGGACATGTGTGGAATGCTGCCGAGAAATACTCAAACGATTTACCTTTTGGATTCGGTTCGACGGTTCTATTACCGCTAGCCTTCCGGTCTGTCGACCTGAGCATTTACCTTGCCTGCCTTTGTCGTGAGAGGGGCAATGACTGCGACTGCGACAATTGACTTCGATTTCCTTGAGGTGGTTTTCTTGCGACCATACAGTTGCTGCATGGATTGCATTGACAAAGTGACATCCGATTGGGGTTGGTGTTGCTGGTATTTACCTATTTTTGTTGAGGTTTTCTCATTTCACTCTTTGTGAATTTGTTGTAGCACGCGTTGGCGTACCTGTTGCAGTGATATGCCCATTGCATGTTTCCTATCGGGCCTTCTTCGTTCGCCCTTAAAATGAACTTCTGGCTTTTCGTGAAAATTCCTGTCCACATGGGTCGGGCAGGCTCGTCATTGTTCGTCCTTCGAAACTGCTTCTGAATACCCATTATACTTTGGGTTTCGTCTGGTGGGTCAGGGTTAGGGGTCAGGTACAATGAATCGATGAGTGAATCTCGACAATAGCTGCTACGGAGTGTTTTGGAACGCATCTCTTGTGGCAAAAGTTGTGCCCGCGCGGTATGGCGTGGACTGTTGGTAGCCCTTTCCTGTCAGCACTCCATCTGCTAGCCTGCCACCAATATGCCAAGTCTCATGGTGAACAAACAGGTGCAAGAAAGTGCTTGTGCCGAGGGAAAATGTTGCCGATGGGGTTGGCTGTGCCCCGGGGCACAGATCTCCGGTCCTCATCCGGTGTTGCACCCAGGTTCCCGAAGTGAGTACCGGTAGATGATCCTATTACCTACGTATGCACCCAAGTTCATTTTTCCCCTGTCATTCTAATATGGGTAATTAATACAGTGGGGTATACCCTGCGTGTTTGGGCACAAAATGGGGTATACTTTTTTTCGGTGTGGGGCGCGACACCTGACGCCGGGTAGGCGCCTTTATACCGCCTTCTAGCCCTTCAGTCCTATGCGCCAGGTCCTTAGAAAGGACGCCCAACTTTGTTTTTTTGCTTTTCACCTACAGGAACAGGGTTAACTCGGGCCTGGAAGAGGGGAGCTCGTCGGAGGACCCCATTTTGTTCACGAAACCGTGGGGTACACCCTCCTGTCTGCTAAAAGTTTATCTAGTACCCCGTTTGGTTCACAAACGTACCCTATAATGTTCAAGGCATACCCCTTTTTGTTCAGTGGTGACGCTCCTGCGGACTGCCAAAATGGCAACCAACAACCGCAGACCACCATATCTCCGTATCTTTGTCTGCTTGCCCCGCCGCAGACCACAACAAAGCCTGTATGTTGCATCGCAGACCACCATACCCCAATATGGTCTGTCTTCTTGACGCGCCGCAGACCGCACAACCTGTGTGTTGCACCGCAGCCCACCATACCCCAACATCTTCTGTCGCCACACCTACGGTGTCTGCAATTGATTGTTGGTTGCCATGTTGACAGTCCGCAGGAGCGTCACCGCTGAACAAAAAGGGATATGCCTTGAACATTATGGGGTACGTTTGTGGGGGGTAGATAGATAAACTTTTAGCAGACAGGAGGGTGTACCCCGCGATTTCGTAAATAAAATGGGGTCCTCCGACAAGCTCCCCTCTTCCAGGCCCGAGTTTACCGTGTTCCTGTAGGTGAAAAGCAAAAAAAAAAGTTGGACGTCCTTTCTAAGGACCTGGCGCACGCGGTTGAAGTGCTAGAAGGCGGTATAAAGGCGCCTGCCCGGCTTCAGGCGTTGCGCCCCACACACAAAAAAAATATACCCCATTTTGTGCCCAAACACGCGGGGTATACCCCATTTTGTCAATTGCCCTTCTAATATGTACCAGGCATGTCCCGAATGGTTTGTTTGTCCGCCATCTGCCTGAATTTCCTGTCTTATGACCACTCACGCCTACCTTACAGCTAACATCCCTCGTTCGTGAGGCCTGGTTGGGTCTACACCTTTTCCAATACACTATGGGCGTACCAGATAGAGGATGGTGTACCTCCAACATTCCAGCTGTTGTTGAGACATATTTCTCTCGCGTCGCCCCCCTCCTTGGCCAAGGTGTAAATACATTGCAGCAGTAGTTCACATCCCATTCCGAGCGACAGAGCTCGTATTTGTAGCGGCGAGACTAGCACATTACAGAGGAAACCACACAGAGTTCGCAAAGCTACCGTGTATGATGTAGCTACTACAGGAGGTCAATGAGATGCCCGGGTCTCAAAGAATTCCCTTCTTGGGTGTCGACCTCCGATTCGTCGTTCTCTCCTTTCGGTTCACAAACCGGGGCCGGCGCCCCCCCGCGTCGGCCCGAGATAGCTGCATCGATACCATCGCCTTGAACGCCTTGCGGAGGTAGGCCGCTGCCGCCAGCCCTTGCGGGGTCCCCTCCAGCACCTTCACGTCGCGCGCCCGTGGAATGGATGGAAATTTGCACCCATTAATTTACCCCAACTCAGTTTTGCACATACCATATATGCGCGGGGAGTTTAACATATCAGGAGCCTCGATAGGATTCAACTTTTCCACGTTGGTTGGGTGCGGTTGGTGTGTACAAAATATCGCACGCCCCCATCCTCCTCGACGATGGTGAGAATGGATGAGAAACTGATTCGCTAGCTTTGCAGCAGTTGGTCATGCTGTAGGAATGAAACGTGATCATCACTCTCCAGAGCGATGCCCATCATCCCAAGCATGTACGAAGTCCGCCTCAGGACAACGTGGACGATGCATTTGTTCCAAAATCAGTGACAAAAAAAACGTTCAGCAGGAAGAGTAAGCGCAGGTGTGCGCTAATGAAGCTACAGCCGTCGTCACAATGCGTGAGGAGCTACAAGTTTAGCCGTTGAATTTTTCGGAATTCATTTCTACCCCGGTGCTGCTGGCGGAGACAGGGGGAGTACGCCTCAATTGTGGAGACGTCTGAGAATTGCAACATTTCAATCGGTGATACGCCAATCGGTGAACCGTATCCATTTCATGCACTTTTCAGGCTTTAGCACACCAGCAAGACCGGCCCAGGGACCAGGCGCAAGCACAAGCACAAGAGCAAGATTTTTCGCGTACGCGTTGCGACTGAAGCGTTTCCTCAGGCCAGTTGACAGGCGCTGGTTCGGTGACGGAATAAAAAAAAAAGAAGAGACACGTGCGAAACAACGGTCGCGCATTGTTTCGTGCCGCCGCCCGGGAAAACATACCTCCAGCGTGTAAGCAACGCTTTCCAAGGTGGACAGGCATTCTTTCGCCGGCTCCCGCCTGAAGCCGTAGCCGCTGACTCCCGCGCACCGAAACTTCACCGCCCTGCACAACGCTCCGTCCTCCATTGGCCCCGCCTCCCTCCCCCCCGACTCTTCCTCGCTCCCGTCCCCTCTCTCATCACCACTACCACCGCCTTCGGCCTCTCCTGAACCCCCAACGGCGGCGACGGGAACGCCACCAACGGAGGCACCCAATTCCCTAGTCTTCTGTCCGGCGGGCGTGGTTGCCGTTGTCGGGCGGAGGAGGGAGGGGTACCTGGACAAGATCTGCTTCGCCTGCGACCAGGTGCCGTCGACGAGCACCACCACCACCTCTCCTCCTCCTCCTCCTCCTCCTCCTGTTGTTGTTGTTGTTAGTTCTGCCGCTGCTGCGGCTGCCGCTGGTGGTGGTGGGAAGGGCTGTGCAGACGGGGCAGGTTGATCTCGGGAAGCGGCGATGTCCTGTCCACCGTGTGTCATGAAGAGAGAGGGTGAAATATTGATATGTGCGACTAGTTGGAACCGCTGATACACACCTTTTTGCAACTACAGGCGTTTCGAACAAGGGCGCTGAGTATTGCTGGCATGTGTTCTTCCTATTGCCCCAGCTTATCGTGAACCAGAAGCGAAACATCTACAACAATACCCGGTTGCTCCACAGCACTAACGACGACGACTTTCTGCGGGCACAGATACTATCAGAAAACAAATTGGGCACCAGACAAAATGACAGTCCCACCCACAAATCGGCAATGCGACACGAACATGGAAAAACTTTCCGCGTGCTCGAGAAACATCGTTCGAGGGAGGATGTGCCGTGCTTCCCAACGTTGTCGATTGGGCACGCTCTCGTTTTTCTGTCCGCCTCTCCTGCTGTATCTCGTGGACAGGCCTGGGCCAAAGCCGCTTTGGAACGAAAGTGACAAGACGCCGGACGCTCGGCGCAAGATACACGGTTTCCACTCACACACCCGCGCCGCATACTGTCCTGGGGCAAAACGAACATGTTCCAAAGGGGATAACGAAACAGAACACCATATTTTCCGGAAAACGACAAAGAACAAAACCCTTCGGAACGACGCGCCATTCGCCCATCACAGCGGAAATCATGACAATCATGACCTAATGCTAACGTCTGCCACCAATTCACCTCAAGGTATTCCGCACCGGGGCAGGGGAAAAGAAGAAGCGGAATGCCTGTGCTGGCGCTGTTTTCCCGCTCCGAGGAAATTTCCGAGACGCGTTCTGGAGAACGGTATATTGCCACCTCGACGCCGAGGGCTTTCCTGAGGTCTTGCTCGCTGTAGTCGTACCGCATGACCACGCGGGTGCAGTTGGCGAGGCAGTGGAGGACCAGAGGAACGGTCCCGGTGACACGCCTGATGAAGAAAATGGGAAAAATGACGGAAAACATCGGTTTGGGCCGCGTGTTGTGCACAGCGTTTGGCTTCCAAAACCTCCAAATTCCATTTTTTTTCCTCGGCCGCAAAATTGAGGTCCAACGGTCTACGTATTTGGAAATTCGGAATCTTTGGAAGAAAAATCACTGTGTATAAAACTGCGCCTGTTAAAAGTGCGAGCCTCCCTCGGAAATCGATTTTCGAACACAGACGGTGCACCAGGAGAAACGTGCAGTGAAGGGCGATATTGGCTAGGTTACACTGAAGGCGCTAGGTGGCGAATTTACAACCCCTTTTTCCCTGCCTGATGAGCTGTGCGGGGTGGTGATGCATGTTCTCCGAGTCTGGGATCCACAACAACGCTAGACCGTGACGAGCTCACTTCTTAGTTTCCGCTGGATGTTGCAATATTACGAACCGAGTAGACGTTGGCATGGCTTCAGCCGGCAAGGAAGAGCACAGGCACATCTGTCACGATCGACAATCGGGCAGAGGGAAAAGATGATGCGGGCGGAGGTGGGGCGCAGACAAGGAATTCATCACGTCTGGACACGCTACTTGTGGAATAAAGTAAGACAAAGAACTATTGCGGTAGTTTACAAGGTCGAATATGATTGGTTCTAGAGGAATAAGTGTCGGTTCACGTGTGTCGTGTATGAAGAGGAATGCGGCGTGACTTCGACGATGAACATGTGGCTTGCCTTGTCGAGGTCAGTCCTGAATAATGAAGAGCTGTGCGATGTGTCAACCAACGGTCTTGCATCTCTGAGGTAAGGAAACTAACACGAGGGCTCCTCAGAGCACAAACGAACTTCCTCGATTGGAATAGGGTTCCACATACTGCAGAGACTGTTGTAGGAACTGTAGGATTAACGTGACGGGAGCAGCATCGAGCAGGCCAACAGAAGCCGTCCAACGGCAACAGGACTTGGAACTGGGGGTTGTCCGAAAACCGTTTCAGCAGTGCCGGCCCGCTAGTGAGCAATACCTATTGTGAGTAAAGCTCAAAGCCTTCTATTTTCTCAACGGCTGAGGACGGATTATTGCTAAGCTACCACACCAGGGTCTTGCGCCGTTGCTCCTATTTCTTCCGTGAATCTGAGCTGCGATGTATTGAGGACAAGTTCTTGTGAGCTGTGTAGAACACTACCATGCTCAAAGGAAATGCTGCATGGCTACTGGAGAACCATGAGGCGAAAAGTGGCGCTCGATTGCCATCAAGGAAGTATGTGCATTCGAGGGGACTGAACTTTTGCTCTCGGGAGCAGCCGTCAACACGCCTCAACAAAAAAGCGGCGTAGTTGCAGCGTAGCAGCGTAGGTTGCCGCAGCACACCTCAAGTGGAGAAACAGCTGTGGTAGACCGAAGGAATGCCTAGTGCTGCATACAAAGAGCGATTGCTGACCTCTCGAGCCCTCCGACACCGCTCGCACAGGTCCCTGCCTCGCCTCTCCTCCGTCCACGCGCCCATGGCCTCCCGCCTCCGCTCGTAGTACGACTGAACGGCCTGTGATGGTGCATCATTCCCGATCTCTCTGGCTGCGCAAGCCGCCCGGCGAGGCTTTCTTCGCCTCACGGTCAAGAAAGGAGTAAGGGTCGTCGGGCAGCAGAACAAGGCATCTGAGTTTCTGCCAGCAGAGCCAGGCGGCGGCAACAATAACCGCAGCGCAGATGCTGATGAAGAACGCGCCCGGAGGCGCTCAGATGCACCGCTCTTCTGTCCCGCTACCGCCACGGCCTGGGCGGCAAACGCCAGCATCAACCGGACCAAGATCATCCTTCAATCGACGGGCCACTTTCTTGCACACACACGCACGCAAACGGCATGCATATCGCAGTATGCAGGCCGGAAACGACGAACACGGCGGTGCACTTGGCCTACACAGCCTACCCTGCACGAAGGATGCCTCCCCCCGTGTCGTTGTCGCCATCAGTATCTTTAGCAAAACCTGAAAATCTAAGTTGCGTGCCCCCCCCTGATCGTGCTTGTCGTCTCGAGTGTGCTGCGCTGTGTCTTTGCGGAACTAACAAGAGAGAGGAGCGCCTAGAGCAGCCTCGACGACGTATTCTTAGGCGATCATTGGATAGTCCTTCAAACGACGCGACTGCAGTCGGTCTTCTCTGCCAAAGGACTTTCTACGGGTGTCTCTGCGACGGCTGCTGTTTTGGCTGTCGGCCGCCGCGACAACAACAGCAGTGAACCTCGCGCGGGAGGAAGTGTTCCCGTCCCTGCTCTCCTCTCTCTCTAGCTGTCTCTCCGTCTCTCTTGTTCCAGCGGGTACAACACTCTCTGCCTAGCCGCAGCTGTGACGACAAATCCTTGTGTGTGGGCAGCCTGAGGATTGTGGGTAGGCGACATCAGGGTTGCTGTGATACCGAGCACGGCGAATAGCCGGCATACGTAACACACACACCCCGGCGGGCGCAACGAGCAGGGAGAGCTTTTGGGGACGAAATCAATCAATCATGGGGGCCGCCTTCCAGCGCATGCTCTCGGCGTTCTACACGCGACAGCTGGAAGTGGTGCTGGTTGGTCTGGAGAACAGCGGGAAGACGACCTTGATGAATGGTGAGCGCGCAGCAAAGTGCTTGGTATGCATCCGCCAAAAGAGAGCCAGCAGTACAATTATCGCCCTTGTTGCAGGGACAGGTCGTTCAGCTGTTGCTGCGTAGAGCGGTACGTTCGTGGCCTGTGGTGTTATCTTTCACCACCAGAGTACCCATGTAACCATGGCAGATGTTGTGCTTCGATCAGTGTTTACTTTATTTGCCCGATGCTTGCAGCCAGCCCTCCGAAGATCTACAAAGCTACAGTACTGCCGTACTTTTCGGCATTTAGTGCGGCGAGATTTTTTTAACACTCAAGCCAGGTGCGGCGGGACTCCACATCTGGCCGAGGTCGGCGGGAAGCAACGATGGTAGGCCATCCGAGAGGAACAGATCACGCGGTGCTCTCTCAGCGCTTGCACCGATAGCCAAGTCCATCAAATAGCATTGGACAGCACACAATGAAACGATGGCGGAGGGCTTAGAACAGGAGTCACGGATTTTTGAACTTGCGGCTTTCTGCAGACACATAAGCCGTGTTCCCGGCAACGCACTAACACTGCAATTTGGGTGGGTACAAAGGGTGCACTGATCGCAGTTGTATGTTTGTTTGTTTTTTGGGGGGGGGTAGCGCGTGCAGTGACATCCTCAGGTCCGACAAGTAAAGGAAAGGACAAACATTGCGCAACTTAGCCCCGTACGGCGGATGCTATTTACGAACTACTTCGGTTTTCATACAAATGTTGCTTGTGAAACGGAGCAGTCACGGGGTTTCGTCGTGAACAACCCTCTCAACTTTCTTTCTCGCGTACTGTATAGTCCGTTCTTTCAACAGCTGTTGCTGTGTGTCTACGGCGACAACACGGTAAAACATACCCTAGGTCCAATCACAACGCCTCATATGTACACCTCCGCGTGTTCGGTTGATGCTGCTGTTGTGTTTTGTTCGCTCCGCCGTAGTGCTCGCCAGCGGCCACCCGGTGGACACGGTTCCGACCATCGGGCTCAACGTCAAGGTGCAGTTGTCTTGGCCCTTTCCCTCCGCAGTGGCGATTTCGGTGATTGTCTTTGGTTGGTGGCTAGCGAATCTGGTGGCATGGGGGTAGCGCAAATGGCGATGTAAATCTTTTTGGCGTTGAGTCTTGTGATGCGGCGCAATCACGCGCGCGAGAAAGAAGCTTGCATGCCCGCCTAGGGCACCTATGACGTCAACACACGCCGCATCTCATCCCTGCCCGACCTGGTTGTGTCGCCCGGCTGTATGCCTTTCCTGGTACCAATGTTGTTTCGAGTCGGGCATTTTCAGTCCAACCCAGCCAAATGCTTCACCCAGTTCCGCTCCGGGGTGCATGTTAGTGCAAGTTTGACTGCGCGGCAAAAAGGAGGATGAAAAACTTCCCTCAACCAATTAAGGTTAGGCTTGCAACGGGTGGCACACTCTCATCTTTCAAACGCGAGAACTGACCCCCCCCCGGACAACAACAAAAATTCAGATGATCAAGCGGGGCGGGGTGCAAATGAAGTGCTGGGACATCGGGGGACAGGCGCAGTACCGGGGCGAGTGGGGCCGCTACACGAGAGGGTGCGACGTGATCGTCTACGTTGTCGATGCTCACGCCGAAGAGAAGGTGAAAACCCGCCAAGATGAAAGTATGTCCGGCTTCCAGGAGCCGGTCTTTCTCCCATTCACTTCGGCAAAGGACGGACGGGTGCTGTTATCTAGAACGGCTAGTATTTTCTGTGGTTGTGTATGGTTTCTGAAAACGTCGCTTGCAAGAGATGGGCACGTCCTTGTGCCGCTCTTTTTAGCAAGATTGGTTGGGGACGACTGGTTACATGGCTCTGATTGGGCCAAGCAGGTGTCCTCCATGTTACTCGATGAAGCATAAGCATATGAAAAACAATCCCCTCCCCTCACACCCAATACCCACACCTACACGTATTCTGCTCCGCCTCGAAAACGTCTCACTCGTCATTCGCACCCACTCCAGCATGACCATGCACCTATACCGACGCCCCCTTCCAAATCAAACGTAAGGATAATGACCAACCAGCTTCTGCTTCATCCTTGTGAAACGCAGTAAACTGGGCGGGCAAAAAACCGGCACATCGCTCCGTCCCGGCGTTGTAGGGATGCTTGGTGAATGTGTATTGTCACGTCTACGGCCTGCGTCGTTTACAGGAGCACACACCCCTGCAGTATGACCATGCGTTTGTACCGGTACGCCCCCCCCCATTGGAAACCCTTCTGCCCAGGCGGCGCTCGCCAGACGAGAACTGCATCGATTACTGGAGGACGAGGAGCTGGCGTCTACGCCGCTGCTGGTGTTGGCGAACAAGGTTGATCTGGAGCCGCATATGAGCGAGGACCAGATCATCCGGGAGTTGAATCTCGACTACGTGACCGCAAACCCTTGGATTCTTATCCCGATATCGGCGCTCAAGGTAAATGATGTTTTTGGAGGGTGGTGATGGTGATGGTGATGGTGCCGCCGCCGCTGCTGCTGCTGCTGCTGCTACTGCTGCTGCTGCTGTGACTGTTGGTCCATGGTTCCTTTCTTGTAGTTCAAGTTTGTTATCGTGTGCACATTTTGAGCTGACCGCGTAACTTCACGATCCTTCCTCTCTCGCTCTGCCGCTGTTGAACGGAACGTGACTAAAGGTGATAAACATTGACCAGGTTTTGCAATGGCTCGTCAAGCAGTCCCGAGGCTAGGCCGCATGCTCCTACCCCCGCCCCCGCCCCCAACACCGGAAGCCTTGGAGACCCCCCGTTTCTGCCGTTGTCGAAGCTCGGTCCACCTCCTCCTTGCACCACCAAGTTTCAACACAGGTTTTTCATCTCCAAAATCGCGTCTACCCTAGCTGGCTAAATAGGTCTTGGCCGCATATTTGTCGGTCGAGATCCCTCCCACCAGTGTCGCTCTGCCCGAGGGACGGGGCACCGCCGCCGAGCCCTGCTGCGCTTGTGCCTGGCAAGTGTGACCGCTCACGCATGACTTTTGTGCCTGTAAAGTGGTAAGGAAGGTCGTTTTTTTCAAGAAGGCTCACGAGTGGCTTGTGCCTGACAAGAAGGAGAGGTATTTTGTCCAAGCATGCTCACGCGTGAGTGGTGACGGTGGCGGCCTTTTTTGTCGCTGGATTAGTACCAGTACCAAGTGGCGCCTGCCTCTCAGCAGCCTGCGCAAGCAGAGTGCCTGGGGAGAATGCATGCATCCCCTGGTCGGTGAAGGCGGCGCCTAGGTCAGACGAAGACAACGCCTCTGGTGGCCACGCCTTGAATTTCTGGGTAAGTTAGGACAATTGTGGGCTTTCACGCTCTCGACTTGGACGTGTGGGTATCTACCTGATGGTGGGGATGATGTTTGTGGCTTGTGCCCTTTCGCGATTGAGTGGGGGGGGGGGGGGGGGGCGGGGGCTGAGCGCGCCCGCCTACTGTATCTACTTGAGACTTTTGTGCGTTCCTTGTGTGTTCTGTTGAGCGGCATAGCGTCGGCCGACACCTAAGGATCGAGCCGCGTGGGTGTTGTTTGTGCTGTGGCGCCAGGGACGGCAATTGACTGGGTTCGGTGGAGCGGTGTGCTACCTAGGTCTTCAGAATCGTGTCGGCTGACTCATTTGTTGTGTGTGGTGACGCGTTCATTGTCGTGCGCGGCAACGCCATCAAGCACGACGGGATTGCTGTGAGGGGGGTGGGTGTATATACAAACGATGGCATGATGCGTATCTTGATTTGTTCCATGCGAGATTTTGTTCCCGGGGGAGCGAAGAGAGGGCCAACGAGTCTGCGAATATACAAACATGAAAAAAAAAACTACGGGACTACTTACACATGGTGACCGGTGTCAAAGGAGGCAACAGCACCTCTCCAGACCTACATGTAACCTGCCTGTGCGTAACAACAACGCGAAAGAGGAAGAAGGGGGGATGAACGCTCGGTCCTGTTTTGAAAATACGATCACCCGTGCACCTTCAGACGCCACGCCTTTGCCTTCGTGAAGCTCCCAAACTTGCAGGGCATCGAAGCGTCACGCCAATGCTCGTGAGGTGCTTTGTTATGGGTCGACGTTCTTGTCGATTTTCTCGCACGACGGTGGGCGGCAGAGGCTGGGATTTGAGTGCACACAACTCGGCATACCACCCGCCAACATCGTACGAAACAACAAAGAAATCACAATAGTCACTCGAGCAACTCGAGACCAATGCCATGCGCGGAAGAGAACCCCTCCCCCCGCGACGTCACACCATTTCTCGGAACGATCGATACGTGCCTCGGGTGTTTCGATCCCGATTAACACGTTTCCATGCCCAAGGGCAGGAGCTTAGCCAAGAAGCCGGCCTAGGAGGGCGCTACAATAGCCCAAGCGAGGTCTTATGCTGGTCCATCTGCGTACTTCGCCCCGTTGCTGGTAGAATCTCGTCTTGCTCATCATCTAAATAATGTACGATGTTATACCCTAGCCTGCCTATCTATGATGCGCCGGGAGCACGTCTTCAAGAGAAATGCCACCCTCTCCGAGCTCGCCCGACGCCCCGGTCATCACGCCATCTTCAGAAAGCGCCGCCACCTGCGGTTGTGGTTGTAGTTGTCGTTGGTATTTTAGGCGTTTAACGGGTCTCCTGTATTGAAGGCGGTGGCAACCATGAACGCTTGGCCAGGGTCGTTCTCGACCCAGCGACGATTCTTGCCGTCCGTAGGCCACTTAGCCTTGTTCATTTGTAGAACTAAAAACAACGTAGAGCTTGACATGGTCCTATCTTTCGACTTAAGAACAAAGACGTTGTTGCTGCTCTGTCTTGTTCGGCGGCGTGTTGAGCCATTTCATTTATCAAGTATAAACTAAATGCAACACAGCAGTGACCACAGCGACACCGACTCACTACGTGTGACGTCGACGAAACGGCCAAATATTACATCCTCTTCGTGAGAGGAAGAGGACAGCAAGGCCAGCCGCGCCACAGCACAAGAATTGGCAGGTACGGCCCTGGTTCAAACAAGCCGCTTACGCCCACCCGGCCGAACAGTGGCCCATGCACACATCATCGGGCTGTATGGTAGACCGCTGTCGCACGCCAGCAAGCGACAACTCGCGACAGCAGCGACAACACCGCAGGAAGCACAGCAGAAACTCTTCGTGTTTTTCTTCCCGCTACAAGACTGACTGGCCTCTTTTCATTGGTCAGCCGATTAGCCCGGCGACGTTAAAAAATAAAACACACACACACACCTCGTCGGGGATGCCCTGCTCTGGCATGCCGGCGTCGGGCAACTCGTCCTCGCTGGGATGTGATTGGCGGACCTGTGGTTTCCAGCGTGAACAAGGGGGCGTTTTTTGTCGGAGAACGCGAGCGAGGGGGCACAATCAACCAGCGTGCGCGCGAGGGGGAAGGTGGGGCTATTTGCGTGCGTTAGGCACGATCCCGGTGTTTGCAGTCAAACGAGAAAAACGCAGTGCAATAGCATAGGTGGTCTGGCTGGGGCATGGGGGTGTGGGTGGAACGAGCCTGCAACCGGTTGCTCTCGTTCAAACGCGGTGAGCAACAATGCCAATTGGCCATACCACGCGACGATTTCAAGTATCGGAGTGAGTCGGTGTGGAGTAGCGCAGTCACGTCATGAATTATCATCCGTTCGCTCTGAGCCCTGTTCATCTCATCTGTCTCATGCATCTCATGCGACACCATGCATGTATCCATCCTCAGGTCAAAAGTAGTGGAATCCTCTCATCTCACAATTTTTTAGTCGTCGTCCCACCCCATCCCATACAATGCAATCTCCTCAAATCTTGTTCAACCTCATCTCATCCCATCCCGTCTTTTCACACCTAACCCCAACCCATCCCATTCCATTCCACTCAACATGTAGCACACCATGCCATCTAATTTTTTTCAGCATGTCATCTTCACGTCACACCACCCTCATCCCATCCCACTCCCTTTCCTCCCGACTCGCCTCCTCGCCTGTCAGCCCATACAACTGGCCTTTCGTGGAACGCGTATCATCATCAAGTCAGACCATGTGCACATCACACCCCGCCTACGATACACGGAGGCCCCCACTCGCCTTGGGCACGATATAGTGGTAGGCCGTGATGAACCCGGCGTCGGTGAGAATCTTGTCAACCGCTCTCACCGCCACGTACTTCCGGAGAGGTATCGCGACCACCTGGTGGAGAACAGGGCCGGAGTCACTGATGACGATTTGGTTCCAGAAGAACACGTACACACAGCAGCAGCAAGCAAACAGGCCCTCAATAGACACGTACCTCATCCACACAGAGATGACAGCAATCATCATCTCTGTCTCCCCCCCCATGGCACCAAAACAGTAGTGTAGCAAGCAACAGGTGCTCCATAGACACACACCTCGCCCACAAAAACATCAACGATCATCGACTCTGCGCTGCCCCCTGACGTCAACACCAAGAAGGCTCGCGGGTTCGAGTTCTGGAAGCACTGCCACAAACTGGATTAAGGACGAGATCAGGGGGTGCTGTTATTTACCGTATATGGTGTTTCAACTAGGATTTAGCGTGGTATAGTACAACCAATACATCGTCTCTTGTATAAGAATTAGTATGTGTTGGCATTGTAAACTAATACACATTGTTCTTATGGGGGGTGTTTCAGACTGTGTGATATGGTATGGATATAATCCCACACACACGTCTTAGTACGAAGTATATGGTTTGTATTATACAAAACAAAATTCTATACAAAATAAAGATATAGACTTTACTATACCCATACTAAATCCTGTTCAATAAACGCCTTGAACAAACTGGATTAAGCGCCCGAAAACATGGCGGGGGGGGTAGCCGTGCTTCCAGAACTTGGATCCGCGAGCCCTCTTGTCAACACGCATCCCTTGGGTCCCCTCTGGTGACCAATTCGTTGCCCGCCCCATAACCTAGCTCGCAGTGTGTGCCGGCCGCCATCAGAAAGAGGTACCCCCCACGCCCCCTCTAGGCCCAACACGGTACGGTGCCCCCAGCCTATAACTGCATGGTCAAGCCACGACGCCACGACCACCCCAGGAAACTGCATCGTGGAAATACTACCTGCGGGACGTTGTTTTCGAGGGACTGCGATGCCAGGCCAACCTAGGGAATGAGCGGAAGAAAAGGAAGGAGAGAGGCAGGCAGCAGCCGGACAAGGGTTGGAGAGACACGTTATGAGGGATAAAAAGCTCGTGTAGAACCTGTTGAGTGATTCGTCAAAAACCAAGACGGGCCTGAGCATGTCTCCTCCCCCCCCCCCATTCTCCTCGCACACACCATCGAACCGACCTTACAAATCTCCCTCAGCGGCTACAGCAACATGCCGCACCCGACGAAATACGACAACAACAGAACGAGAACAGCAGCAGCAAGAAGACAACAACAACAACAGCAACAACAACAACAAGACACCTTGTAGCGGGGCTGGAGGACCTCGTTGATGGCCTCCACCATCTCAAGCCCCGTCCTCATCTCCAGGTTCTCCACGAACAGAGTACGGCATTGGTAGGCGGGGCTGGTAGCGACAGCCGCCCCCTCGATGTGCACCCCGAAGATGCGGAAGGATTCCGCCGTGGCCCTGTCGAACCCGTCGTGGTCGCTGAATACCACCAGCCCTGACGATGCGCGTGAATGTATTGATCAATGAATGTGTGAAGGTAAGGTGTATGTATGTCGTCTATACGTAAATGAACGATGTGTGCTAGAGAATGTATGTATCCATGCATGCGGGAATGCGCGTGAATGTATGCATCAATGAACTTGTGAAGGTAAGGTCTGATGTTATGTATGTCATGTATGCATGAATGTACGACGTGTGCTGCAGAAAGAGACGTACGCGCATGTATGAATGTATGAACTTGTTTTTTTTGCCTTCACTTCAAATCAGCGCTCACAGCACTTGTGCCGTTTACTCCAACCCGTGGTCACACACAAGGGTTTCCCCCGATCCACTCCTCCTGCGGTACCTACAGTACGTTGTCCTCGATTCTTAATGCCAGAAGAGTGCAGCAATCTCTTTCCTCTGTGTACACACGAACTAGCGCTTTTCCACCCAGGCCAGGAACGGAAGCGAGAGAAAACTCACTCACTTCGAGAGAAAATCCCGCTTACGCCGGGATTCCAACCCCTGGCCATGACCACTTATAGAAGGTTTTCGAGGATACCAACTAGACTACCGGTGCCACGGGCTTCCGATGCATAGAGTAATAAATGTACCGCGGATGTTCGAATGGATGATGAACATAGCAATGCATACGTGGATGAAATGCATCATTTTGAGTAGTATCCATGCATGCATGTATGAAACTTATGCACACCCATGCCGCAGTCGATAGACCATTGACCTCACAACCCGAGACGGAGCGATACATGCCGGGTTCCTTGGAGGGGGGGGAGAACACCGTAGAACTATTAAAGCGAAGCTGGGTGTTTCTCTTACCGTGCGCCGTGCTAAACGCAAGCTCGCTCTGGCCAGAGGGACGGAAGCCTCGCCTGCGGCCCGCATTGGGCCTTGAAACGGGGTCCTCTCCCTCCCTGAAAATGGGCTCCTTGATGATCACCTGGTGCACAGCTCCGCACCTGCTGGTATAGTCCAAGGTGAGGAGAAGGGCATATATTGCATGAAAAAGTGTGCGTGCGAATACGTAGAATACTTCGTAGATGGAAGACACCATGAAAAAAGCAGACAAAGTCATTCATGCACTAACGTTCGCGGTCGCTCAAGTCTCCGTGCTTGAAGCATGAACCAACATGTGCGTAAGGTGTTGCGAAACAAACGGGTTGCACAATGGGGCTCCCCGAACACCAGCGCCTTTGAGGAGGTTTTGCCGCGCTTTCAAGGACATGTCCTGTATTCGTTTATTTTGTTTGTCTTCACTTCAAAAAAATCAGCGCTCACAGCACTTGTGCCGTTTTACTCCAACCCATGGTCACACAGAAGGGATTCTTCCCCCTACCCACCCCTCCTGCGGTACCTACAGTACTTTGCCTTCGATTCTTAATGCATAGCGGCCACAAAATCACTTGGTGGCACCACTTCACCCCGAGTAAATAGATAGCCGCTAACCGGCAATGACAGCCACGTGCCCTGAACAAGCGCATCGGCCCACCACCACTGTACCTGCGTCCTACGCACCCCGCAGGACGGCACCCAGCGTTCATATTATTTTCTTCTACTGTTCGTGTACAGCACTCGCTGCTCCGTCATAAGAAGGTACCTCATAAGAGGAGGCTTCGATATAAGAGGCTTCAAATCGGTTGTCACGGACTCGGCCCTGCATAGCATCCTGGAGTACGCTCTTATCCCCGTGTAAAGAGGAGGATCCGATACAACAGGGTGGAGGGCCTTTGCCACGCCACCCTCTTACTTCGGAGGCACCACAGCTGTTTGCATGTACGCGGGGGTGCATGAAGGAGAAGAATTGAGTGTGGGGCTCTGTCCACGATCGACACACCGAGCGGCAACAAACACGTCCGAAAGGCGGAGTCAAGGCTCCAAGGAAGACTGCACGTGTATGGAGTTGACCACGACGCGTCAATCCCCACCAGACGTGCAGCTGCCGTAACGTAATCACTCCGCCAACCCGAAGGGTACGAACTGTTGTCAGAGGACGCGTTGTTGTGTGATGACCGACACACGCTACGTCAAACCACAAGGCCTGCACATCCCCCCCTCCCCCGCCCCTCCAAAACAAGAGCAAAATCGCCGCTTTGGGGACAATCATGATTTCGGTCCCGCATTTAAGCAGGGACCCCCGGTAACGGAAAGCAGATGTCCTGGTACAATGGATGGCTGCTGCACCAACCTGGAGAACGCGTCCCTGACGGTGTAGGCGCTCAGCCCGTACGGAAGTCGTCTCACGAACACCTAACGGGGTCCCGTGTGTGCGGGAAACCAAACCAAGACAGGGGGGAGAGGCGGAATCGAAAGGCATGAAAGGTGGAAAGAAGAAGCAAGTGCTGTATTTCGCAGCACGGCAGCACAGCTGCCAAAAAGCTGGCGTCTTGTGGCTTTGTTTATGAACACCCGGTACGATCACTTACGCCAGGCACGTCCTTCGCAGAGTATACACCCATCGCCCCCCTCCCCCCCCCGCCCCGGCGCTCTACAAAGACGTACGTGCAAGGAGAAAAACTGCAAAGGAGGGGGGTCTGTCTGTTTCCCCGTCCTGCTCCTTTTTTCCTCCATCTGTAGCCCATTCGGGCGGGGGGTGTCAGGGTGAAGTTCAGCCAGGAGGGGGGCTTTCCGCGGGAGCGGCTCCTTCCTTTCTTTGGTCGCTTGCTCTTTTTTCATGTCTGGGGGAAAGCTTCACCAAGAAACCAGTGGGAAAGACGGCGGCGGGGGGGGGGGGGGAGGAGGGTCGTGCATGCCGTAGTCGTTAGATCATTGACCTCGCATCCCTACAAAGCCGGGACGGAGCACGCCGGGTTCTCACCGGACCAGGCTCTCACATCACCAAGCGCGAAGCGCCGCGAGGTATTCGGCGAGTCGCATGAAGGGTGCGTTGCATCCTGCTAAGGGTGTTCGGCATCTTGTGCTTCCTTGCGTACGGATGACAGCTGCGTATGACTTACCAATTTATTTTCTGGTGCTTTCAGTTCCAGAGACAGTTATAAGCACTGTGTAACTGCCTCGAGGATGCTTGACTATTTTAACACAACGTGCGATTATCCCCTTTGCGCGGAGTGAGGGTTCTCGACTCCGGACAACATAATCTACTCGACCACCATTCATGGTTACCGCAAAAAGAAAAGAACCAAAGGCAAAAAAAAATAAGCGGTAATCTGGTTGCCGCTCCTCTCACGAAGGGATCGGCTTGTTTTACAACATCGCTGCCAAGCGACCAAAACCCAACCCCGATGGCCAAAATTGGGGGGGGCGGCTTGGTGTTGATGTTAAAGTCTCTTTTTGTCTAGAAGAGAGAAAGGGCAACGCAGTAAAAAAGAGAAAGAGAGGGGGGATGACGGACAAGGTGGTGTTGATGGCAGAGGTTTGTTCGGGATCTTTTTGTCTTCAACAGAAAAAGAGCAAAGCAGAAAAAAAGAAAAAAAGAGGGGGGATGACGGAGAAGGTGTGGTGTTGATGGCAGACGTTTGTTCGGGATCGTTTCGTCTCCAACAGAGAAAGAGCAACGCAGAAAACCGAACCCGACTACATTGGGGAGGATTGAAAGCACCGTGGTCGCCTCTATTCGCTGGCTCTTGAAAAAGAGAGAGAAAACACCGAATGCACGATGGATGCATCCACTCCGTTGCTATCCCGCAACACCCTAATGAATGAAGGCAAGCCGATGCGGTAATCATTATCCCCACAACTCATTAGCGAGGTAAAAGCGTTAGGAGCTGATCTGCCTTTCAACGTCTTTGGCCAAGACCGGCAGGAAAGCAGGTAAACCTGGGGCTTCCTTGGTATTTACTAGCCAACGTTTGCGGAGCAACACCGCGTCTACCAGCAGGTTTTCCCTTCGCCGAGGCGGCAAACACAGCGAGAGAAAACAGGCAAATGCTCGACACACGCAAAACCCGCTCCCGGAGCGTTAACATCGATATGGGGGGCGCTATTCACCTCTTGGCAGCACCCCACCAAAGCAAAACCATGCACCCAAGGTGAAATGGTCGACTCGTGGAATCGCCTTGACACCTGGGGGAATCTCAGCCGTCGCCTGCGTGAGCTGCACGCCGTCCACCTCCTGGCGCCCACCAGAAGGCCAAAAGTGTGTGCCAACAAAAAACAACACCAAAAGAAAAATAAGCCTGGTCGACTCTCGCGAACTCACCTTTGCATCCGGGGGGCGCTTGACCCTCATGCCTTTGAGGAGCACGTCTTCCACCTCCTGGTAGTCCTTTTCCCTCGCGCGCGGTAGCTCTTCCTCTCCCGCGCCCTCCCACCACGGCTTGTTTTCGCCGCCACCCTCCTCCTGTGCACAAGGCGTGAGAAAAAAAAAGGGGGGGGGGGAGTTGTTGTGAAGTGAATCGAACGGGTACAGAGCAAGAAGAAGACAAGTTTCCCTCGGAGAAGGGCGGTACATAGGAGTAAGCACAGAGAGGTCCGTCTCGGGGGGGGGGACAAGAGCCTACAACTCAACCTGCTTTGGAATGGTTGCCTACAGGACGGCGTCCCCGTGCCTGCAGCACGTTGGTATGCCTCCAGAGACGAGCTGGCGCCGAGTGGCTGCATGCGCGAAAGTCGCGGTGGCCGTCGCCCGTAAAAATGGCCTCTTCGTCAACGCTGACTGAAATAGCCACCCACCACACACACGCACCAAAGACCTACCTGTTCTTGACGACAATGCCGACTTGAGCCGTCACTCACGACCAAAGGAACACCCACAACATACTTACGACGTCAGCTTTGGACAAACAAGAAAATGTTGACGACGACGACAACAACAACAACCAACACCCTGTTATACAGCTGGGTCACATGGCCCTTCGAGCCCGCCGTGTTCCGCTTTTAGCCGCGCTGGGACTGACGCATTTCCATTGGCCAGCCGGCCAGCGCGGTCGATGCCAACAACAAAAACACACCCCACCTCACCTGTCCTTCCTCCGGCCATGCGCTTTCCTCGCTGAGCCTCCTCTTCCCCCTCCAAGTCCTGTCCGCGGCGCCCGACATCACCGGCACCTCCCCCGCGCCCGCCTTCCCGATTCCGGCCGGCGTGTCCCCCCCGAAGATGTCGGCGGGGGGGGGCACGTCTAGCTCAGGGGGCCTCTCCACGACCGACAGTTCGTACAGCCCGAGGGGGGCCGGCGACTTGGGTTTCGGGACCTGATAGGGGGGGGGGGGGGAAGTGCGAGAAAACGTGACGGTAGAAAGGTTCATTTTGCCACCGCACTATTTGCTTGCTTAGTCTCGAAGCGAATACACTCTGCCAATCCGTTCGCGCGTTCACTTCAGGTACAAGGCTATGTACTCCGTTTTGGCTCATCAAAAGTCGAAATATATCGAAACAAAATGAGGGAGCGAACAAGAGGTGGGCAAAACGAAAATTCACGGCATAAAAGCAAGAGGGGCAGCAGCGCCAGGCCAAACCTACCTGCGGGGGTAGCGCCCGGGAGATAACCTTGATCGCCGCGGTGTTGAGCTTTTGCCGGTGCTCGCTGTCGCGGCTCTCTTTCACCGACCAGCCGGCATCGTCCATTGAGTACCCCCGGATGAGGTCTTCGTCGCCTTCATCATCAAAATCCGGGTACACGTAGTCCTCTTCGTCGCCGTCATCCTCCTTGCCCTCGCGCTCCTGCTCCCGGGTGCGCGCCTAGAAACCAGCGGGGGTGCACGAGCGTCAGTCTGGATCGATCTTGGTGCCATCGCTTACGGTTGGGTACAGCAGTAGTGAACACACTTTCTGCAACGAGTACATTGACAAGTTCGAAACGAATTATTACCCTTCGGCGGTCTTTGTCCGCCCCAAGACGGGGTGTGTTTCCGCTGGTTGCCCAGCCGATCAGCGTGGTCCATGCTACCCAAAACAAAAACACACAACAGAGTTTTGGCCCCAACAATTGAAAGGGCCTCGATTTCGTCTGGTGGCACCAAATTACGTCATCTCATTTGCCCGCTTCATACTGTAGCGCGGTCGATGATAGTTATTGAAAATCATACAAACAGCATATTTACACGCAACAAAGGTGTGCTTTATCGCGTCCAGCAAGTGAAGAGGACGTGCTTTCACTTTCCAGGAAGCGCGGTCGATGCTAATATAAGAACGCATACATGCCCACCACACCTCTTGCATCTCTTGAGCCTCTTCGATGGACCAGGGTCCCTTGAATTCCTCGTCGTCCTCCGGGAGGGCTTTCCTGCGAGCCAGCATCAGCCATCTCGCCAGCAGCAGCTGGTCCTCAAGGAAACCGTCCTGAACGCGAGAAAGACGGTCACAAAGCGGACCCACAACAAGCTATTAGCACGAATGAAACCGCGGCGGAATGAATGAGTGGCCCTTGCACACGGACAATTGCAACAAGCCTTCGGGGAGTGCTCCCGGGCGCGCGCGCGCTGGTTAGATACCGTTGCGGTGGTTTCTTGCCCAGCTACGGAAAGACCAATATTGTTTTCGTTATTGTCTTCACTTCAAATCAGCACCCACAGCAATAGTTCTGTCGTTTTCCCCAACCCGTGGTCACACAGAAGGGCTCCACTCCATGAGGCCCCCTACCCTACTCACCCCTCCTGCTGTGCGTTGCCTCCGACGTTTAGTGCGAGAAGAGCGCAGAACTCCCTTCCCTCTGTGAAATAAGCTACCACAACTATAGCGCTAGGGTGATAGAGGTAACGCGCACCTTGGCAGCGTCAACTCTCTCCTCCATGCCCTTGCTGGATTGGTAGAGGTCCACCCTCCAGAAGTTGGCGATTGCCGGCAGCACGAGGTGAGTCCGGGTCCTCAGCACCGTGGCTAGCTCTCCCAGCACCCGGTGGCGTCTACGCGTCTTCTCCGCTTCCAGAAACTTGCAGAGCTGTAACCCCCCCCAAAGAAACGAGCATCCAAACGTTGGCCATGCGAAAAAATCAATTAGGAGCGAGGGCTACCTCACACAACACAGGAACGCGATCCCAAAAAGGGCACTAATAAACCGCCTCCCTTGCGCACTCATCCACAATTGTTCATGCTGTCCTTGGCAGTGCGTGACGTGACGGGACAGGACGAAAACAAAATTCCCCAATTCTGGGCAACGCTAATACTGGTACCATACACAACAACAGGAGACACAAGAAAACAAGAACAAAAAGTATCGCATCTGCAAAAAAAGCAAAAAAAAATCACTCACCGTCCCCCAGACGAGTTGGTATCTGCAAACAGGGAGCCGATCCGCCAGTTTCTCGGCAAGTGTCATGGCCTCCTCCCAACGCTCTGGATGTTCCTGGGAGTGACAAACCGTCAGGGAGGGGTAGTCAAAGCTCACAAGGGTCGTGGCGATGTCGGGTGAACTCATTCAAACGCATACCGTAGTCTGGAGACAACCCAAGCATCCCCAAAATTCTGAGACGGAGCGATGTTCCGGGTTTTGTCGGCCCAGGGTACGATAAAAAAGGATGAAGCAGAAGCTGGCAATTGTCCGTTGCCGTGCCAAACCAGATAAGCCATGGGTTGATTAGGCACCCCGTGAAACCAATTGTTTCACATTGGTGAGGCACGGCTGTGTTTCAAATACCATACCGATGGGGGGGGGGTGTACTCATAGTCGTGCATGCCGTAGTCGTTAGATCATTGACCTCGCATCCCTACAAAGCCGGGACGGAGCACGCCGGGTTCTCACCGGACCAGGCTCTCACATCACCAAGCGCGAAGCGCCGTGAGGTATTCGGCGAGTCGCATGAAGGGTGAGCTGCATCCTGCTAAGGGTGTTCGGCATCTTGTGCTTACTTCCTTGCGTACGAATGACAGCTGCGTATGACTTAATTTATTTTCTGGTGCTTTCACTTCCAGAGACAGTTGTAAGCACTGTGTAACTGCCTCGAGGATGCTTGACCATTTTAACACAACGTGGTGCGATCATCCCCCGTTGCGCAGAGTGAGGGTTCTCGACCCCGCACAACATGATCTACTCGACCACCATTCATGGTTACCGCAAAAAAAAAAAAACAGGGTAAAAAAACAAAACGGTAATCTGGTTGTCGAGTTCACGAAGTGAATTGGCTTGTTTTACAACATCGTTGCCAAGCGACGAAAACCCAATCCCGATGGCGAACACCGAGGGGGGGGTATACCGATGGGGGGGGGGGGAAGAGTGCCTTTGAATGCCAAATCAAACAAAGCCAAAGGGGGAAGAAGATTCTTTGGACAGAATCCCCGTGAGTCCACATATAGGGGAGAGGAGTAAGTCATACTTTGGGGGTTGGCTGTATTCTCCAAAGGGATGCATGTTGGTTGGGAGGGGACGTGGGGACGGAGCGTTGAAGCGTTGAGAGCTAGCTCCTCTGCCTACGCTTCCAAGCTTTGAAAAAAACACAAACACAAAAAAAAAAAAACACAAGACAAAAAGCAACCACAAAAAAAAACAGCAACGAGCACGCGTGGAAGGCGTGGACGGCAGCAACTAGAGGCTGTGACAGCGGTCATCGAAAATCACGCGGCAGCAGCACCCCCCCCTACCCCGCCTTCTTCCGCCACCCACTCACGTTTCGAAGCTTCTCCCTCGTCATATCCGGACCCCACTGGTGGCGTGCGTAGGCTCGCAGCATGCTCTCCGCCATGCCCTGTGTGGGAACAAAGGGCCGCCGCCCCAGATACGATTGTTTTGGTCACGACACAAACAGCGCCAAAAAATGTTGCGAGGCACAGGGAGAGAGAGAAAAAAAAAAGGGTTTCAGTAGTAGTGATTATCAGCAGATTGTACGTGTACCGTACGGCCCGGTATTCCACCGTTGTGCCGCATACATGCAACAACCTTTCTCTTCCACGCTGCACCCCCCGCCGTTTGCCGGGAGCGTTGTTTCGGCCGGCTTAATGGCTGGCAGACCACGCTTATCATCTGAACCCCTAACGCCTTCTACCCAACGAACAGCCCATCCGCCCACCTCAAGGTC